TGGTGGTGGTCAACAGATGATGTGGAAGCGAAGGATGAAGAAATGCATAGAGCGATTAGGTAGAATCGGTGTTTCCCGTTTTCCAGATTGGGGTCCGAAAGACTCTACAACTGGTTGGCTGAAGACATTAAAGGATATGGCGACCAACCGACGGCAGTGGTGCTCTTGTTGTCATTTCTTAACAAGGCAGAATGCTGGAAAAAAGGCATGCATGAACACTTAGACTGTGTACTCTGTGTTGAACATAGAGGTTCTTTTTCTTTGCCTCCTTCCAAGTAGACCCAGTCCCTCTCCATCTTGTGCTTTATCACTTGATTTGTGTACATTGTGAGCTTGACAGTGATCAGTGAAGCTCGTTTCACTGTATCTCGCTGTACGGTGATGATGATGATGATGATGATGATGATGATGATGATGATGACGACGACGAAGAAGAAGAAGAAGTGACGCTTTGGGTTTCTGAAGTCTTTATCTGGTGTCATGACCAATGGGATGAAAAACGGAAACGGTTCAGAAAAACTGGGGTAAACTAAAATCGAGGGTTCATCTCACACAAGTCAAGCTCAATAAACGACTGAACAAATCGGATCTATGTTGATTAGAAGCTGAGTTTGAATGGAGATGTATGTGATGGGGAAAACGATTAAAGAGTCAGTTTTGCTTTGCATTGAGCCACATTATGCAATGAGTTAGTAAAAGATGAAAATGAAAAATTTGGAACAGCAGAAAACAGTTCAAATGTATTTACCGGGAGGACTGGCGTTTACACAAAGGAAACACAGAAAACAAAAATGATCGGTACAGAGACCCTAACGGCAACGCTCAAAGTGAATGTTGTCCACAGCACCGGGTAAAAGGGAGAGAATACTGCAGTTTCGCAAAAGCGTCGATGATATTAAACCATGTTAATAATAAAAATGAAAAGGTGAACTAGCGAAGCACAGGAAAGCTACAACGTCAATTGTCTGCAAGCACGAGCTAGCTATATTGAAAGTGAATACACAACCATCACCAAGTATTACTGCTTTTTTCAAATGGATGCAAACATTGAAGCATGCACGGAAACCTGCATGATTTATCAAACAAAACAACGCATAAAAAACTCCGATTTTGTGATTTTCACATCTGCCAGTTTTTGCACACATATTTTAGGAAGGACATAATCTGTTTGAATGGCCGAGCAATCGATCATTGACTTATCATACTAAGGTGTGCAACAAAAGAAAAACCAACTCTGATAACCAGTGAAAGTCGGTAAATAAATATTCCGAGGAACTACTTTGATGAATGAGCGGCTGAGCAATCATGTCAAACTGTTCCCATAAACCTTATATGTCCAACATGCATGCAACTTTAGCAGTAACAGTATACGAATAAAGAATGAAAGTATTAATACAGGACAAGTACCTTGGCCTCTTCGGTAATAACACTTGCATCCACTTCGTCCAATTTATCGCGTCCAGAGCGATCTATTACTTCATGGAGAGCATCAGTAGATAATGAATCCATATGGTCATTTGTGGATGAATCACCGGAAGTTTCTGACGTGTCGCCGGACTTCTCCAGTGGTCCTCGACTTGACACTTCAGATCCACCTTCATGTCTTTCATTGTATTTCAGATCAAACACTTCCTTATTGCCGTCTTCCGAAGCTGATGCAGAACCGGAATTCTGGATGCATAAAGCAATTCAAACCAACCATAATAGCAAACCAATTTTCATAACACAGAACAGACTTGATGATACATAATACGAATTGGTGTATACAACTTCGATAGAGGCATACAACTGTTTTTGCAGCTCTTCCCGCTCATCAGGCTTTTTTACCATAGATCATTGTAGGAGGAATGATAGAATGGGTAAACCCGAGAGCCTCGAGGACTTACTGATGTTAAACAGCAGCTCATGTTCTGGGGCTTGTAGGGGAGCAAATAAGGCCCTACTAGTGCTATAAATCCTCAATACAGTGCCGGAACGAGGGGAGTTATTTATTTGAAGATCAGCATCGGATAGGGGTAAATAAGGCTACATTGAACAAAACATCTAATATGCAACAATTGGTTTGTATTTTCGTGATCGCCTCTTCATCGGTGATTGCCAACCTGATAGTTTATTTGCATCTTCTATAGTTGCAAAATTAAATACTTTAATCCACTCCCAGATTCCTTAGGAATCCAATAACCGCTTCGTGATGAGTGCACACTATTCACACGTGTAAGTGGTTACTCACAACACCAGGCTGTGGGCGGTGCTGAACGAGGGGAGGCAGTGAAGCTTTCTACTATATAAG